TTCTGATATTGGTGAAAAAAAAGTAAGTGAATGAGCAAGTTTTGCAAACAATGATTATTTTTTATCACCACCTCTAATTTTGCAGTAAAATGCGACCTTTGGGACACAAAAGAAAGTTGGCATTTATGGTTAGGAAATTCTCCGGCGTCTCCCCTTTGTGAATTATATAAATATTCTTATTCGTCTCAAGTCAAACATCATTTCTCAAGCTAGTAATTTGCGGCTTTTCACAAATTTTCCTTTACTATTAAAACAGATAGTTCGCATACTATTTTGTTGATAGGTTATTAACTAGTATTAATTTATCACTGCTAGAAATTTAGCTTACAAGGGGGAACGGGTGCCAGTAGGTGCTGATACTCTGCTTACTGTAGAGAAGGTGAGATAGATAATATTTCCGTACGTCAGATTAATAGCTTGATATGGAATTTTTGTCTTTAATAATATGTTTCTAAATGTTTAGCCAAATCTAAAAAGAAAGCGTAAAAACGTAGGCAAACAAAAGTTGCACTTGCCACCATCATTCCAGTCTGATCAGATGAGGATCGAAGTGGATGACGCAATTAATCTCAGAAACACGCTACGTTTTTTTTTGAAATTGAGACATCTCTGACAAAAAATCCATTCTTCATAAGCTTAAATGGACTCATTTTAGAAAAATTAGTGCATTCTTGATATGAGGGAGGCAATGTTACAATTTAAAAACCTTGCCAAACGTCTAGTATTCAGTTCAATCTATGATAATGCATTCCTAAGTTGGAAATTATATACATCACAGAGAATGTTAAATAATGAAGAAACAATGAGAATTATTAAGGATGCCAAAAAATAACTACAGCGAAATTCTGCAGCAAATGAATTTAAGCTTGCTTTCTTTCGATTTCTACAAAAACCACAATAAGTGTACCTGAAAATTTTTACAAATCTCTTGAAAAAGACGCAATCCAAGTCCGCTTTTGTAACCATAGGTGTAATGGATAGATTGATATTTTAATAAAAAAGGTATGAATAATCAAGAAGTACGTCTTATTAAAAATAACACCAATCAAGATTATTTCGAAGTTGGAACAAACTGGTGAAAATCCGCCATAGTGAAATAAAGTCTGTTTTTTCGAGAAATATCTAATAAATTTATCTAAGTGCAGATAAGTAGTAAAGATTAAAATTAAGTCAAATTTTAAGACGAGGGATGTCCA